GTGACAAAGTACGACTCTGTCTCAAAAAAAAAAAAAAAAAACTAGCACTCTGGGAGGCTGAGGTGGGTGGTTTACTTAAGCTCAGGAGTTGGGAGACCAGCCTTAGCAAGAGGGAGACCTGTCTTTACTAAAATAAAAAAACTATCTGGGTGTTATGGTAGGAGCCTATAGTCCCAGCTATGTGAGAGGCTGAAGCAAGAGGATCTCTTGAACCCAAGAGAGGGTAGAGGTTGCTGTGAGCTCTGACGATCCCACAGCACTCTACCCAGGGTGACTGCGTGAGACTCCGTCTAAAAAAAAAACCCAAAACAAAAAGAATACATTCCTTGCCTCACTCTAGTCTTAAAAATGAGGCAGAGAACAGGCTTCACTAAAGTTTCAGGCTCCTGGGTTCCAGTGCTCGGCCAACACTGAAGACCAGCATCCTGACAGGTTCAGGCCCTTCATACAGATGGGCCAACCTCCAGTCTGCAGACTGGTACTGGTCTGTGGCCCCCTTGGGAACCAGCCCACGCAGCAGGAGGTGAGCTTTATCTGTATTCACGGCTCTGTCTCCTTTCAGATCACCCCCTCCCAACCATGGAAGAATTGTATGCTGTGAAACCTGTCCCTGGTGCCAAAAGGGTTAGGGACCACACATTTAGCCTACCTAATGCCCAGGAGGTGGAACATACCATTATTGGGCCCACATTATAGGCAGGGAAATGCTTCGGAAATACACTGGCCAAGTCAGAGATAGTCAGCAAGGAAGCCAGGTCTCCATTTACATCCCCTCTCATCACTGAAATGCTTGTGGCCTCTGAAGGGGCCCAGCCAGAGAGGGCCCAACTTTTACCTTGGAATGACATCGTCACTATCTCTGCTGTGGTGAGCCGAGAGGTATCAGGAGCAGGCCAGGTGACGGTATGCTTCGGCGCCACAGTTTTAGAGGTGACCAGAGGCCTGCTCGTGGAGGTGCCCTGGGTGGTCACTAAAGACTCAGCCTCTGAAAGAACAAATACACATTTCCTGAGTGCTGCATGCTACAAACTCTGTGTTTCTAATAACAGATCAGAAACAAGGGCCCATGAAAATAACACCCATGGGCTCGGCGCCTGTGGCTCAAGCCGCTAAGGCACCAGCCACATACACCTGAGCTGGCGGGTTCAAATCCAGCCTGAGCCCGCCAGACAACAATGAATGATGGCTGCAACCAAAAAATAGCTGGGCGTTATGGCGGGTGCTTATAGTCCCAGCTACTTGGGAGGCAGAGGCAGGAGAATCGCTTGAGCCCAGGAGTTGGAGGTTGCTGTGAGCTGTGATGCCATGGCGCACTACCCAGGGTGACAGCTTGTGGCTCAAAAAAAAAGAAAAAAACACCCATGGATATCTACATTATGATCATACTATTTTTGTTTAAGAGAGACTTGCAAGTGCTAAGAAGGTGGTCTTGACCAGGTGTGCTGCCTTGTACCTATAATCCCAGCACTGTGGAGGCTGAGGCAGGATGGTTTTGCTTGAGGCCAGGAGTTCAAGACCAAATTGAGGGGGCGGTGCCTGTGGCTCAAAAGGGTAGGACGCTGGAGGTGGCAGGTTCAAACCCAGCTCTGGCCAAAAACCGCAAAAAAAAAAAAAAGAAAGACTGAGCAATATAGTGAGATGCCATCCTCTCTCTCTCTCTCTCTCTTTTTTTTTTGAGACAGGGTCTTACTTTATCACCCTCAGTAGAGTGCCACGGTGTCACAGCTCACAGCAACCTCAAATTCTTGGGCTTAAGCAATTCTCTTGCCTTAGCCTCCCAAGTAGCTGGGACTACAGGTGCCCGCCACAATGCCTAGGTATTTTTTGCTGTAGTTGTCATTGTTGTTCAGCAGGCCTGTCTAGGTTCGAACCCACTAGCTCTGGTGTATGTGGCAGGCACCCTAGCCATTGAGCTATAGGCACTAAGCCAGAGACTCCATCTCTTAAAAAAAAAAATAAAAATTATCCAGGTCCTAGTTATTCAGGAAGCCATGGCAGGAGGATAGCTTGAGCCTAGGAGTTAGAGGCTGAACTGAGCTATGACTACACCATGGCCCATAGCAAGAACCTGCCTGTCTCAAAAAACAAAAAAACAGGGAGGCACCTGTGGCTTAGTGAGTAGGGCACTGGCCCCATATACCACGGGTGACAGGTTCAAACCCAGCCCCGACCAAACTGCAACAAAAAATAGCCAGGCGTTGTGGCCAGCGCCTATAGTCCCAGCTACTTGGGAGGCTGAGGCAGAAGAATTGCCTAAGCCCAGGAGTTTAAGGTTGCTGTGAGCTGTGACTCCACTGCACTCTACCAAGGGTGAAAAAGTGAGACTCTGTCTCTACAAAAAAACCAAAAAAACAAAAAAGATGTTCTGGACCTGGACCTGTTGGCCTCAATTTGAGACAATCTCAGATAAGAAGAATTCAAGAATGGGGTCTATTTCTTCTCTGTGTGCACCCATTAGAAGTCAGACCACTTCCTCAGGGGGCCAAGAAAGACAGAATTAGACATCAAAATGACCCTGGGTCTAGATGCCCAGCACGGTGTTAATGTGCCCAGCATCAGAGAAAGGCAAAGTCCTTGTGACTTTAAGGAACCTGTTTCACAGATGTGCATGGAGAGTCTCACAGGAGATAGAAACAAGGCCTGTACCCCTACCTGTGAGGCAGCTCCTCATGTCCTTGGCTAGCAACATGCCATCTGGGCAGGCACAGGTAAACTTGGGCGAGTGTGGGTTAATTTGTGGGGCAGGAAGACACAGGTACTGGCAGCCACCATTTCGGAGAGTGGGCCTCTCACACCAGTTTACCCCTAGGGCAGAAAGAATGAGGAGTCGGGCTGAGAATGAGATAGGCCAGAAAGTTCTAAAAAATCCCAAGAGAGCCCATGGTGAGGTCTCAAGGTAGAGGGACAGACAGGCACCCCAACCACACCTTTTGGCTGTGTGAAGTTGTGGAAGAGGACAATATCCTCAGGGGACAATAGGTTTTCAGCCACCAAATTAATGTCGGAGCCCGTGAGGCGATTGGCACTGAAAATGGCTTCATTGATGATGTCTGTCCAAAACACTTTGTCCTGTGCGGGGAGTAAGGAAAATGACAGAACCCATAAGCTGCTGAGAAAGGACACAGACCACTATCTCCACCGCTATCAGGGTTTCATTTTGGTAAAATACACACAACATAGTATGTACCACCCTAACGCCCCTTTTCTTTTTTGTAGAGATGGGAGTCTCCCTTTGTTGCACACACTAGTCTAAGACTCCAGGCCTCAAGTGATCCTTCTGCCTTAGCCTCCCAAAGTATTAGAATTATAGGCTTGAGGCCCTGCATTTGGGCACCATAATGCTTTATGAGTGCATCTTTTTTTTTTTAGAGACAGTCTTACTTTATTGCCCTTGGTAGAGTGCTGTGGCGTCACAGCTCACAGCAACCTCTAGCTCTTGGGCTTAGGTGATTCTCATACCTCAGCCTCCTAAGTAGCTGGGACTACAGGTGCCCACCATGACGCCCAGCCATTTTTTGTTGCAGTTTGGTCCCTTTGTGACTGGTTATTTCACTGAGCATATTGTGTGTCAGACTTTCCTTCCTTTTTAAGGCTGAACCATATTCTACTGGATGGAATATTACTTAAATAATGTTAAACAGTAAGTTTAAATAATTATCATATGGATGGACCACATCATGTTTATCTGTAGGTTGCGGCCACTTTTGCCTGATATAAACAATGCTGCTGTGAACACGGAGGGATGAATATCAGGGCGCCCCCCGGTGGCTCTGCGAGGGGCCTGCTAACGCTGTGTTGTGTGTGCTTATCAGTATCCCTGGCCTCTACCCACTAAATGCTCCTAGTAACCTCCACTCAGTTTTGGCAACCAAAAAATCTCCAGAAATTGCCATGTCACCCAAGGGGCAAAACTGCTTCCACATGACAACCACTGGTTTAGGCATTTCAAGATTCTTTGGGTAAAAAGAAAGAAAACAAAAATAATTCCAGGTTTAAGACCTCTTGCTTGATACCAGCTGTTTTCTGTGCTCATCCTGGCTTGAATGAATGAGACAGGTGTGTCACCCTGCCACTTGAGCACCCACGTCCCATATATGAGTTGCTCTCAATAATTAAAAAGTCAGCCGTGGATTTGCTCATGCTCCCAAGTCTCACCTCAAAGATGGCCAAGGAGAAGGGATGGGCCAGTCTCTTCTTGTCCTCCAACACTGTCTTCCGGTTGCCACCATTGACATCAATACTGGAGATGGAGTGGAGTTTGGAGTCAACCCAGTAGAGGCGACCACTGGAAAGATCTAGAGTCCACAGGTAGAAGAAGAGAGGTCACATGCTGATGACAAATTGCCAGAGGGGGTCTTTGGAGTGGGTCACTCTTTCCCTCAAGCAGAGAAACATACAGAAAAGTAGCTCTGAGCACATGTGAGCCCGAACCCCACGCTGTGCCTGGGGGGCATTCACCCCACTGTCTCACTCCTCTGTGGGGTGGGTGGGGACAGTGTGGGTTAGAACCAGCTCAGGGAGCTCAGTGGGGCTGTTCAGGAACATCCTGGCCTCTCGTCCCCCTCATCATACAGAGTGTGCCCAATGCCAATGGGGACAGCCGTTCTCTGAACATACCCAGAGTGATGCCATTGGGCCACTGGATGCCTTCTGTCACCAGCGAGTACACATCCACACCATTCAGGCCCCCTTTTTTGATCTTAGCAGGGGTTCCCCAGTCAGTCCAGTACATGAAGCTGCAGGAGAACAGAGAGAGCAGATATAAGGTTGAATGTCACTGGGAGTGTGGTCCTGGCTAACACTGAAGAGCACATTCAGCCTGAAACAACCAAGCCTGGACTCAGGAATCAACTTGGGGACTGTGAACTTATTTTTTGTTTTAGTTTTTAAGAGACAGATACACTGCCAGGTCTTTTTTTTTTGAGACAGAGCCTCAAGCTGTTCCCCTGGGTAGAGTGCCATGGCATCACAGCTCACAGCAACCTCCAACTCCTGGCTCAAGCAAGTCTCCTGCCTCACCCTCCCAAGTAGCTGGGACCACAGGCACCCAACCACAACACCCGGCTATTTTTTGGTTGCAGCCGTCATTGTTGTTTGGCGGGCCCAGGCTGGATTTGAACCCGCCAGCTCAGGTATATGTGGCTGGCGCCTTAGCCACTTGAGCCACAGGCACCGAGCCTACTGCCAGGTCTTGAACTCCTGCCTTCAGCCATCCTCCTGCCTCAACCACCCAAGTAGCTGGGACTATAGGTACCCACCATGACATCTGGTTAATTGTTTCAATTTTTAGTAGAGATGGGGTCTCACTGTTGCTCAGGCTAGTCTCAAAGTCCTAAGCTCATGTGATCCTCCCACCTTAGCCTCTCAGAATGCTCAGAGAGGCAGACATGAGCCACTTCTTGAGGTTTTCTATAAACACCCACAATTTGTTTTGACCCAAGATGGTATTATCCAGAACACACAACCAATCTAAACTTGGACGCATAAACTTGCCAAAAGTAAATTAAAAACTGTTGCATGATTTCTACTGAGTGCATGTCACTTTTCCCACAATTGTAAAGTCAAAAAATGTTAAGGTGGACCATTTGTGAAAATTGTATTCACAGTTGTTACTTTGTATGAAGTAGAGGAAGAAAAGGGAAAGTAACCTACATTTCTATGTACTGGGCACCAATTTAAAAAACTGTGCCCCTCCCAGTGGACAAACTCATTATACAGTGTACAAGGAACTGAAAACGCAGAGAGCCAGGAAGCCAGCCATGCACAGTGTGCTCCCCTGTGAATAATCAGAAACAGGTTGGGTGCAGCAGCTCACGCCTGTAATCTGAGCCCTCTGGGAGGTTGAGGTGGGAGGATCTCTTGAGGCCAGGAGTTGAAGATCGGCCTGAGCCAGAGTGAGAGCCTGTGTCTAAAAAATAGCCAGGCACTGTGGAGGGTGCCTGTAGTCTCAGCTACTGGGGAGGCTGAGGCAGGAGGATCGCTACAACCCAGGAGTCTGAGATTGCTAGGAGCTGTGACACCACAGCACTCTAGCCTGGGCAATAGAATAAGACTCTGTCCCCCACCCCCCCCCCCAAAAAGAACAGAATATAAACACACACCTATGCTTTGTATCTGAGTGGAGTGGATCTGAGAGTCTCTCTGTCTCTGTCTATGTCCTGGCAATTGTGTAGCCACATGTCACCCTAGCCAGTGCTCCTTGATACCAACAAGCATTTGTCTAACTCAATCAGGGCCTGCTTCACCTGAAAATCCTGTTCCATCTAAATGATACTCTCTTCCCTGCCCAGCCCTTTGCTTCCCTTCTGATACCGTAGGAAGATGGCCATATTTTTCTTCTCTGATGTCCCCTCCCCCAGACAAGACCTTCCATGGATTTTTGCCACCAGCAGGATGTACCTCGTCCCAGGTTGTCAGTGTTCCTGGGAATTGTGAAATCTTACCTCTCATGTACCCAGATGGCAGATAGAGGCTGCCAGGTACAAAGTACACGAGGCAGGGTGCAGGGTGAAGCTTCCTGCCAGGGGGTGCACATAGCAGTGTCCTGACCCCGGAGTTGCTGAGTCAGCCATGACACCTGCCTGGGGGGTCAACCTGAGTGACAACTTTCTCTCTGTCCTATCCCCAACCTTCATACATGCAAATGACTACCCCAAACTAACTTAATGGAGAACCTTGGTAGTTTTTTTTTTTTTTTTTTTTTGAGACAATCTCACTATATTGCCCTGGGTAGAGTGCAGTGGCATCACAGCTCACAGCAACCTCTAACTCTTGGGCTTAAGAGATTCTCTTGCCTCAGTCCCCCAGGTAGGTGGGACTATAGGCACCCGCCACAATGCCCAGCTAAGACCTTTGTATTTTTTTCTTTTATCCTGTGGCTTAGGGGACTCTGCCACAAAACACTAACTAAATTTGTGTTTTCATTTCTCATTCACCTTGCCAGTGCATGACCAAGTGTAGCAGGACATGCTTGTAGTTCCAGATACTTAGGAGGCAGGAGGATCAATCACTTGAGCCCATGAGTATAATGTTACAATGAGCTATGATGATGTACTTTACCCAGGGTTACAGAGTAAGACTCTTATCTCAGGGAAAAAAAAAAAAAAAAAAAAAAAACCAACAACAAACGGCTCAGTGCCTGTGGCTCAAGCAGCTAAGGCACCAGCCACATATACTTGAGCTGGTGGGTTTGAATCCAGCCCAGGCCCTGCCAAACAACAATGACAGCTGCAACAAAAAAATAGCTGGGCGTTGTGGTGGGTGCCTGTAGTCCCAGCTACTTGGGAGGTAGAGGCAGGAGAATAGTTTAGCCCAGGAGTTGCAGGTTGCTGTGAGCTGTCATGCCACGGCACTCTACCCAGGACGACAGCTTGAGGCTCTGTCTCAAAAAAAAAACAAAACAAAACAACCCACACAACTAAAACACACACACACACACACACACACAAAACACCATGAATAAAACAATTGTTGGAGGGGCGGGTTTTTTTTTTTTTTTTTAGAGACAGAGTCTGACTTTGTCGATCTCAGTAGAGTGCTATGGCGTTACCCAGCCTATAGCAACTTCCAGTTCCTGGGCTTAGGCGATTCTCTTGCCTCAACCTCCCAAGTAGCTGGGACTACAGGTACCCACCACAATGCCTGGCTATTTTTCTTTTTTTGTTGCAGTTTGGCCAGGACTGGGTTTGAACCCGCCACCCTTGGGTATATGAGGCCAGCCCCCTACCCACTGAGCCACATGTGCTGCCCATGAACAAAACAATTTATAATATAGGATTCACATTAAATTCTGATATATATGAAAATTAGTGTTTTAGGCCAGGCGCAGTGGTTCATGCATATAATCCTAGCACTCTGGGAGGCCTTAGGTGGGTGGATCACCTGAGCTCAGTAGTTCAAGACTAGCCTGAGCAAGAGTCAGACCCTGTCTCTACTAAAAAAGTGAAAAACTGGGGTGGCACCTGAGTAGGGCACTGGCCCCATATACTAAGAGTGGCTGTGAGCTGAGATGCCACAGTACTCTACTGAGGCCATAAAGTGAGACTCTGTCTCTAGAAAAAAAAAAAAAAAATGAAAAACTGAGGCAAGAGGATCACTTGAGCCCAAGAGTTTATGCTATGAGCTATGATGCCATGGCATTCAACTGAAGGCAAAAAGGTGAGACTTTGTCTCAAAAAGTAAAATAAAATTAGTATTTTAGATTCCTTCCTTCTGCCTCAAACTCCTACTCTCAAGCTATTCTCCTGCGTCAGCTTCCTGAGTAACTGGGACCATAGGCTCCTACTACCCAGCTTGGCTTTGTAAAGTTTTTTTATAGAGATGGGGACCAGCTACTCTTGGACCCCTGGCTTCAAATGACCCTCCTGCGTGGACTTCCCAAAGCACTGGGATTACAGACATGAGCTACCTTACTCAGCCTAGTATTTTAGTCTCTGGGTTGAATTTTTCCTTGAGGTCTGTTACTAGCTCAGGGAATGTAACAGGTATCTATAGGATCCACCACCACCCCACCAAGGCCTCCACTCCAGGCTATTCCTTTCCTGACAGTGTGAGACTTTGATGCCAGGTCTTCCCTGAAGTTCAGGACACCTCATCACCTGCCTAACTTAATCTACTCAGAACACATATATTCTTCCAAGTACTAATCAGCTCTTTCCTTTTTTTTTTTGAGACAGAGCCTCAAGCTGTCCCCCTGGGTAGAGTGCCGTGGCTTTACAGCTCACAGCAACCTCCAACTCCTGGGCTCAAGTGAGTCTCCTGCCTCAGTCTCCCAAGTAGCTGGGACCACAGGT